AGTGGGCCAGGAATGCTAAAACTTATGTGGAAACATCCTGGGGTATTGTCAATTTTAAATTGTTCAAATCATGACCCCCGGGGTAGGGCAGGGCCACAATAGGGAATACAGGTTTTACATAGAAATATATAGGAACAATCTTTAAACAATATCTTAAAATCCTCTTCTCAAGAACCAGTGGGCCAGTAAAGCAGAGACTTATGTGGAAGCATCTAGGGGTAGTGTAGATTTTTAGCTCTTCTGAGCCAAAGGCTCAAAGAGCTAATGCTATGGCCATTTATGCGTCGTGCTGTGTGCATTAACTTTTTAGAATATAAATCATAACTCAAGAACCCCTTGGCCAATCAGTGTCAAATTTGTCACAGGATATCCTTGGCCCAAGGGCTACCCTTTGTACCAAAATAAGGGTTGGGACCCTTAAACAAGGGGAGATAATCAGGAAAACAGAATCAAAAATACTGGTTGCTAAAAAATCTTCTTCTCCAGAGCCACCTGGCAGATTTTCACCAAACTTACATACAAGGATCAGGATATGTCAAAGATAAAAAAATTGTTCAAGGCATGACCCTGGGGCAAAGGGCGTGGTCTCAAGGTCACTTCAAAGTTGTCCTAAATTTACAAATAATAAAAATTGTTTATATTTTGTTTACTATTAGGACTAGGATCATCAAATCTTGCAAGTTGATGCATCTTAGGACTTCACATTATGTTAACTCAAAAGTAGGTCACGGTGACCTACTTTTTAAATTTTGTGAGCATTTTTTTTTTCAAATTGATTTGAAGGCATATTTTGGACACTTAAAGGCCTATGATCATCAAACGATGTCAGTTGATGCATTTTGGGTCCTTGAACAACACAACTTAAAAGAAGGTCACTGTGACCTACTTTTTGAACTTTATGACTAATTCTTTTGAAAACATTTAATCCCATTATTTCAGAATCACCAAATCTTGTAAGTTGATGCATCTTGGGACCTTAAAACATTTTTATGAAAAAATAGGTCACTGTGACCTACTTTTTGAATTTTGCTGGCATTTGTTTTCAAATTGTTGAAAAGGCATATTTTGAATACTATTAGACCTATGATCATCAAATTTTGTCAGTTGATGCATCTTTGGTCTTCAGAAACTGTAGACCAAAAAGTATGTTACTGTGACCTACTTTCGACATTTTATGGCTAGATTTAAGTATATTAGGTATTTATTCGCTTAGAAACATCAAACTTGGTGAGTTGATGCATCTTGGGATTTTGGAGATTAACGACCAAAATGTAGGTCACATTGACCTACTTTTGACATTTTTTGACTATATTTAAGTATCTGTCAACCAAAATGTAGGTCACAGTGACCTACTTTTGACATTTTATGGAAATGTTTATGTATCTCAGTTACTATTTGGTTTAGAATCATTAAACTTTGTCATTTGATGCATCTTAGGTTTTCAGAGCATGTTGACCAAAAAGTTGGTCACTGTGACCTACTTTTGAATATCTCAGGTACTGATTGACTTAGAATCATCAAACTTTGTCAGTAGATGCATCTTGGTTTTCGGAAAATTTCAACCTAAAAGTAGGTCACTGACCTACTTTTGACATTTTATGGCTATATTTAGGTATTCTAGGGTACTTATTGTCTTAGAATTGTCAAACTTTGTCAGTTGATGCACCTTGGGTTTGCGTAGAATCTTGACCAATAAGTAGGTCACTGTGACCCACTTTTGAATATCTCAAATACTTATTGGCTTAGAATCATCAATCTTTGTCAATTAATGCATCTTGTGTTCTAAGAAAATTTTAATCAAAAATTAGGTCACCATGACCTACTTATAGTATTTTATAGTTACATTTTAATATCTTCAGCCCTAACTGGCTAAGAATCATCAAACTTTGTCAGTTGTTGTATCTTAGGTTTTAGGATAGATTGTATAATTTATCAGAAGAGCGATTCAAGGCCCTTGGGCCTCTTGTAAATTGTTCAAATCATGACCCACTGTGGTAGGATGGGGCCACAATAGGGAATCCAAGTTTTACATGGAAATATATAGGAACAATCTTTAAAAATCTTCTTCTCAAGAACTAGTGGGTCAGGTATGCTGAAACTTATGTGGAAACATATTTGAGTAGTGTTCATTTTAAATTGTAAAAATCATGACTCCTGGGGGTGGGGGGGGGCACAACAAGTGTCTATGTTCACGCGTATGTTCAATTTACTAAACTTTGTACACAACACTAAGCTCTGTAGGACGATACTTGTGAATGGATTTTGCTTCAAAACATTTTTACTCTGAATATTATTTTATGGAATTAAAGTTTTAATATTTTTTATTATTACACAATAAGATAAGCTCTTTTCCTAAGTATTAATAATAAGATTAGAATTTGTGAAAATCAAAGATGTGTTAATCAAACCCATTAAGCAACAAAGATTGATTGGTCATATTTATTTGGAATCATCCTCAGGTAGTGTAGATTCAAAGTTGTTCAAATCATGACCTCTAGGGGTAGGGCAGGGCCACAATGACCTATCAAAGTTTTACATAGAATATATAGGAAAAGTCTTTAAAAATCTTCTTTTTGAGAAGAGCAAAGCCATGATTGGTCATATTTATATGGAAGCATCCTCAGGTAGTGTAGATTCAAAATTGTTCAAATCATGACCTCCTGGGGTAGAGATGGGGCACAATGAATCATCGTAGTTTTACATAGAATACATATAAAAAATCTTTTTGAGAAAAGCAAAGCCATGATTGGTCATATTTATATGGAAGCATCCTCAGGTAGTGTAAATTCACAATTGCTTAAATCATGACCCCTGGGGATAGGACTGGGCCGAAATGGATGATCAAAGTTTTACATAGAAAATATAGTAAAAATCTTTCAAAATCTTCTTTATGGGAAAAGCAAAGGCATGATTGGTCATATTTATATGGAAGCATCCTCAGATAGTATACATTCAAAATTGTTCAAAGCATGACCCCCAGGGGTAGAGAGGGGCACAATGAATGATCGAAGTTTTACATAGATTATATAAGAAAAATCTTTTTGAGAAAAGCAAAGCCAGGATTGGTCATATTTATGTGGAAGCATCCTCAGGTAGTGTAGATTCACAATTATAAAAATCATGACCCCTGGGGATAGGACTGGACCACAATGAACGATCAAAGTTTTACATAGAAAATATAGTAAAAAATCTTTCAAAATCTTCTTTATGGCAATAGCAAAGGCATGATTGGTCATATTTATATGGAAGCATCCTCATATAGCAAAGGCATGATTGCCCTAGCCTCATTTGGGCGAATTTAAAACGGGGCGAATTCATATAATACAGTATAATTACTTAAATAAAACTTTGACAGGGCGAATTTATAACGGGGCAAATTAGTCTGCCAAGTGTAAATGGGCTAAAATAAAACGGGGCGAAAATAACCCTGTATACAGTATACATTCAAAATTGTTCAAAGCATGACCACCGTGGGAAGAGCAGGGCGACAATGGATGTCAAAGTTTTATATAGGAAAATGTTTAGCTCACTTGAGCCGAATACTCAAGTGAGCTTTTCAGATCACATTTTGTCCGCCGTCTGTCTGTCTAGCTATTCCGTTTGTGTGTAAACTATTCACAAATTTCAGATTTTTCCTCAAGAACCGCTGGGCCACTTCCAACCAAACTTGCCACAAAGCAGCCTTTGGTGAAGGGGATTCAAGTTTGTTCAAATGAAGGGCTACACCCTTATTCAAGGGGAGATAATTTATAAATAATAAAACTTGGTGGTGTGTTTTCAAAATTTTCTTCTCAAGAACCTCTGTGCCAGGAAAGATGAAACTTACAGGGAAGCATCCTCAGATTGTGTAGATTCAAGTTTGCTCAAATCATGACCCTGGAAGTAGGACGGGGCCACAATGGTCGGTCAAATTTTTTCTTAGAAATATTTAGGGTAACTTTAAAAAAAAAAATTCTCAAAAATAGCAGGGGCATGAATACTCATATTTATATGGAAGCATCCCCAGGTAATTGTAGATTCAAGTTTGTTCAAACCATGACTCCTGGGGGTAGGGTGGGGTCATAATGGCTGATAATTTTTTTTAAGAGAAATATACAGTGAAATTCTTTGAAAATCTTTTCAAGAATCAATGTGTCAGGAAAGATGGAACTTGTAAGAAGGAATGCTCTGGTAGTGTAGATTCTGGTTTGTTCAAGTCTTGACCCCTAGGGGTAAGGTGGGGCCACAATAGCTGATCTCAGTTTTACATAGAACTATATATAGACAACTCTTTAAAACTCTTTTTCTCAAGAATAGCAAATGCATGCAATATGTTTACTCATATTTATATTGAAGCATCTTCAGGTAGTGTATACTCACAGGCTCTTGACATTTATAACCTTTCTCTTTATAAATAAAAAATTTCCCTACTATAATAATAAACAGGAGGGAAATTTTTATTTATAAAGTGAAATGTTAAAAACGTCAGGCGCCCCTGTGTAAAATTAAGTTTGCTCAAATCATAATCCCTGTGGTTAGGGCAGGGCTACAACAGGGAATCCAAGTTTTATGTGTATGTAGGAAAATTCTATAAAATTCTTGTTCTCAAGAATAAAAAAGCCATAATCGATCATATTTATATGGAAGCATCCTCCTGATCAGGTAGCGTAGAATCAAGTTTGTTTATGTGATGGCCCCAGGGGGTAGGGTAGGGCTACAACGTAAGTTTAAATCTAAAGGGCAATAAAGTGACAGATAGTCGAAGAAACATGTAAGCATCCTTATGTAGTGTAGATCCAAGTTTGTTCAAATCATACCCTCTCTCCTTTAAGGTTTAGTTGGGACCACTTTTGGGTTTAAACTGTCAGTATAAAACTGATTTCTGCTTTTTTTCCTTACTACTGTGCTCAGTTGAGCGATGTGACCCACAGACCTTTTGTTTGTGTAAATGATACTTTTTTTCTTTGTTAAAATTACAAACCAATAGAGCTACATTCTCATCAAAACTTCTTGTTTTCTAGATGCCGAAGAAAAGAAAAGCTGTTTGTGGTAGAACACAACGTGAAAGAGACAGAGCTAGAAAGAGGCAGGCGAGACAGAAACCTTCAATGCTAGATGTGTCGCCAGATGAGCAAGTGACTGAGTTCTCTGTTCCTTGCAGGACAGAGGATGGAGCTATGTCAGCTCCTCCCGGTAATTTTCCGGGGCTTGGTTCGATGGGGTTTCCACCTAAAGAGGAAAAACCCCTGGCCAGGGTGCAGGCCTCACTTCGAGTGAAAATGCATTCACCTGCCCCGAGGTTGCCACCTCCTCGGGGAAGTCGTCTGTTTGTCCGTAACGAGGACAAGGCACCGTCCCCTGACTCCCCACCGTGGGTTTGTGCTCCACCGAGGGCACCTGGATCGGACATAGGGCATATGTCTGATCCAGCAGGTCAGGCGCAGCTGGATACCTCCAGGATGGAGGAGACCAGTAGAGTATCAAAAGATGAGGGCTTTTTAACTGATATTAAAACTGAGTCTGAACGAATATTGAAAGGAAATTTGAATGAATACAATATAGAATCTGAAATGAGAACTTATGAGCAAGAGAACAATGAGAATCATACTGTTTCAGAGAATGGTTTTGAAGAGAAAAATAATAGAAGAAATGAAGATCACTTTTGTCAGAATAAATCTGAAATACCCTTTTCAGTTCAGGGCTCTTTTCATCAAGCTCATCCTATGTTTGAAGAGAATGCTGGAACACAGTGTGTTGCTAATTGTTTGGCAGGATTAGCTTTTCACAAACTTAAGAATGCAAAGAGCTGGACAACAATGGATATGGACAGAGTTTTAATGACAGGTGATGAACTGTACACATATTTGCAAAGAAGCTCATCAATCACTGATAGGTATTTGCTTGTAGAGGAATTACCACAATTCTTTGAATGCTTTAACCGATCATATCAGTTTCATGCAAATCAGACATATGCAAGTGTCATTTTGGCAAATGATGGAATAAACTATGCAGAGTTTAATTCACTTCCACTAGATGAAGCACTTCAGGTTGCCCTTTCAGACAGTGATGGCTGTTTTGTATGCTTTGGTGGAAATACAATGCTTATAGGAGTGACAGGAAGTGGTTTCTTTGCTTTTGACTCTCATTCTAGATCTGCAGATGGAATGATAAGTGTAACTGGAAGGAGCACAAGAATTTTATTTGAGAATGTTAGTGAAGTGTATTCACATCTTCTAGGTCTTGCATTTTCAATGGGATATACAAAAGGTGTTGAATGTAACTTGACTGGTGTGTGTTGCAAGATGGGTGATATTGCAAATGTTAGTGAGTTCTTTGAAGTAGATGAAAACATTGATGGAAAGTCTCAAGGGTCAAAGTTATCTTTGGAGACCACACATGAAACAGGCGATGCAGATGATGACTTGATTTTTATTGGAGATGAGCAGTTACAATTTACCTTTATTCCCTTAAGTACAAACTTTAAAAAAGCCCTTTGTGAAATTTTGAACATTCCATTCTCTAGCATTGGAAATTCTGGTGACGTCAATTGTTCTAGAACTAATATTTCAGAACCATTACTTGAAAAGGAAATAATAGGAGATGGGAATTGCTTCTTTAGAGCCATTTCATTCAGTCTTGCAAATTCAGAAGATTTCCATTATGTAATACGCCATGCTGTCTGTGAGCATATAATGGAAAACAAAGAGCTATTTAAACCATTCTTAAGAGATGGCGTACAGTCAGTAGAAAGTCACCTGTCTTCCACACAAATGTCACAGGGAGGTACTTGGGCTACTGAGGTTGAAATATTTGCAACAGCTCATCTTCTAAACATTGATATATACACTTTCTCTAGAGAATGTTGGTTAAGGTTTTTAGTTGCTGAAGTAGATCCTGGTTTGCAAAGCAAAACTGAAGCAATTTATTTGAATCACTACCAGCAGAACCATTACAATGTTGTACTGTCTGTTAATGGAGAGGAAATTGACTTAGCACCACGACAATGGTTTAAAACTTCTCAAGAGTATGAAAAGCGATACCAAAACCGAACACGTATGCAGGTGGAAAGGCAATCTAGAACAGAAAAACGGGGAAGTGTTAGTGCAGTCAAGAAACGAAATGAATCTTTAAGACAGAGATATGAGGAAGATAAAGAATTTAGAGATAGGAAACTGAAAAGATCTTTCTTAAAGTATTCAACGGATGATGATTACAGAGAAAATGTCAAGAAGAGAAGTATTGATAGATATGCAATAAACGATAAGCAGAGGGAAGATGTCAAAAGAAGAAGTATTGACAAGTATGCAACAGATGTTGATCACAGGGAAGATGTCAGAAAGAGAAGTATTGACAAGTATGCGACAGATGTTGATCACAGGGAAGATGTCAGAAAGAGAAGTATACAAAAGTATGCAACAGATGATGGTCACAAGGAAGATGTCAGAAAAAGAAGTATTGACAAGTATGCGACAGATGTTGATCACAGGGAAGATGTCAGAAAGAGAAGTATAAACAAGTATGCAACAGATGATGGTCACAAGGAAGATGTCAGAAAAAGAAGTATTGACAAGTATGCGACAGATGTTGATCATAGGGAAAATATCAAGTGGAGAAGCATTAACAAGTATGCAACAGATGACCAACATAGAGAAAATGTCAAAAGGAGAAGCACTGATAAATATGGTAATGACAAAGAGCATAGGGAAGATGTCAAAAGGAAAAGTATACAAAAGTATGGAATGGATGATGAACATAGAGAAAAGGTAAAAGCAAGTAGTAAATTGAAATACAACTCAGATGAAATGCACAGAATTCTAGTCAATACTTCAAGTACAGAGAGATACAGGGAAAATGTGAATTTCCGAGAAGCAAAGCTTCAAACCGCAGCGAAAAAGTACAAAAGTGATGAATCGTTCAGGTCAAAAATTAAAGATGCAAGTCGACATCAATACGATTCGAATGCAGAGACGAAAATGAAAAAGAAAGAGATGGTAAAAAGTCGTAGAAATGCAGAAACAGCTAGATTAGAAAATCAGGAAGAGGTGGTAAAAGTATTTAAAGAAAATGTTGTGCAAGGCATTGACTATTCGTGCTGTTGTTGTGATCGGCTACTGTTTCGGAATCAAGTTCAAAGATGTGAACGGAAAGCATATGCCAAAACTGAGCAGGCAGCAAGTGTTGCAGACTTGTGTATTCAAGATAAGTACTGTCACGAATGTATAGAATCATGTCCAAAGGATTGCATTAAATCAACGTTATGGATTTGTTATACTTGTCACAGGAAAATCTTAAGCGGAAATTTTCCAGCAGAAGCTGCAGCGAACAAAATGGCTTTGGAAGATATTCCAAAGGAATTACAAGAATTGAACAGCCTTGAGAAACACTTGATTGCAATACATATACCTTTCATGAAAGTCATGAATCTTCCTCATGGTGGTCAGAAAAATATCCATGGGCCAGTTGTATGTGTACCAGCTGATCTGAAAAAAGTTACAAGTTTACCAATGAAACCTGGAGAAGATCATTTACTTAGAGTGAAACTAAAGAGGAAGTTGAATTACAAAGGGTACAGCGAGTACCAGTTTGTTGATCCAAAGCACATATGTGAGGCATTGAAGTATTTAAAACTTAACAATCAATGGTATGAAGATGTAGCAGTTGATACAAACTGGAAAGGGCAAATTGAAGATGTAGAAGAAATATTGGAGGTTGGCGATTCACTATCAGAGGATGATGATCAGCAGCCCAGTGTGTCAGATTCTTGTCTACAACCTGTTGATATTGGTCAGGAGGTTCTTGATCATTACTTCGATGATATATATGACATTGCTCCAGGAGAAGGCAATAATCCAGTAAGGATGTTACAAGAAGAAGGGAATGAGGCAAAAACATTTCCATACCTTTTCCCAAGTGGGCAGTTTTCGTGGAATGACAACAGAGAAACACGAATAACACTGTCAAGATACTACAACAATCGTCTTATGAATACAGACGCGAGATTTGCGAAAGACAGTAATTACATTTTCTTCAGTCAGTTTATGTCTGATTTAAATCAAGTTATAGAGAAGACGCAGATATCTATAAGGAAATCAATCAGAAGAATAGGAAATGACCAAGAAGTGACAGCAAATATGGTACAGGACCCTGAAGTACTTTCGAAGTTGATGAAAAATGACGAGGCTTTACGATTCATGCAGCCTATACGAGGAACACCAGCATACTGGTCAGCTGCACAGAAGGATCTGTTTGCTATGCTTAGACAATTAGGAATACCTACTTGGTTTTGTTCCTTCTCTGCTGCAGAACATAGATGGAATGATGCGGTCACTACAATATTGAAACAACAGAATGATAACAGAGATGCTTGTATGTTAGACTGGTCTGAAAAGAATGAGGTACTGAGAAGTAATCCTGTCACTGTTGCCAGAATGTTTGAGCATAGATTTCATGTGTTTCAGAAAGATGTGATATTTTCACCTTCAGAACCAATTGGGAAAGTGTCTGATTTCTTCCAAAGAGTCGAATTTCAACAAAGGGGATCACCTCACATGCATTGTTTATATTGGATAGAAAATGCACCAAAACTTAATGAAGATGGAGAGGATGCCGTTTGTAATTTCATAAACAAATACGTGAGTTGTGCAGTGCCCTCCGAGGAAGAAGATTTGGAGCTGAGGAACATTGTCTTAGCAGTGCAACAACACAGCAAAAATCATTCAAAGTCATGCAGAAAGAAGGGCACAGAGTGTAGGTTTAATTTCCCTAGACAACCATCTGTATCCACATTCATCAACTCTCCACTTGAAGAAGAGAGGAAACTGAGGCTACTGATTTGCAAAAACAACAGTCCATCGCTAAGGAAATTCTATTACAAGTTTGGAATGAAGTGCAAGATGAAGCAAATAAATCGAAACAACCGAAGATATTTTCAGTTATCTAGGATTGACGCAAACACAGTATGAGGAAGCTCACAAAAGATTAGCAAAAAAGAGAACTGTTGTTCTTGAAAGAAACCCATGTGAGCTCTGGATAAATCAATACAATCCATGCCTCTTAAAATGCTGGGATGCAAATATGGACATTCAGTTTGTTTTGGATCCATTTAGTTGTATTGTCTACATAATTTCATACATCTCAAAGTCTGAGAGAGAAATGGGAATGCTATTGAAACAAACAAAAATAGAAGCAGAAGAAGGCAACGAGAGTGCACGAACAACCTTAAAAAAAATTGGTTCTGCCTATTTGAATCACAGAGAAGTGAGCACTCAAGAAGCTGTTTATCGCGTATGTAATCTGAAAATGAAGGAATGTTCAAGAAAGGTAGTGTTTGTACCAGTGGGTGAAAATCCTACTCGATCTAACTAAGCCATTGTTTCAGCTAAAAAGAAATCAAACGAAGATGAATGATGGAAATGTTGAGGATGACGATGAAGAGGATGATATTTGGATGACAAATGTAGTAGAAAGATATGAAAATCTACCAAATGATCCATCCTTTCAAAATATGTGTTTGGCAGAATTTTGTTCTGATTTCAGAATACTTGCAAAATCACAGGTTCCAAAGACTCAAAACGACAACGTGTTTGAACTAAAGAACTCAAAAGGTTTTGTCCAAAGAAGAACTCGTACAAAGTCAGCTGTAATAAGATACCCTAGATTCAATCAGGAGAAAATGTCAGAAAATTATTACCAATGTCTGCTACAGCTTTTCTTACCTTACTCGACACAAACGCAGTTGAAACCTCCTGGGTTTGACCTTTATGAAGCATTTTATGAAAATGGATATGTACGAATGACAGGAAACAAGAAAGTACAGTCAGTAAAATCAATTGTTGACAAAAACAGAACACGCTATGCTCAAAATGAAGATATCATCGCAGAGGCATTGGAAACATATGAAAATCTCGGAGAGCCAGAAGATGCTTTGGCAAATCTCTGTCCAGAGACAGAATTAATGAGAGAGGAATGTTTGTAAAGAGAAATAAAAGTTTGGAATTGAATGATACAGAAGATTTGCCAGACATGCAAACAGAAAGCAGTTCAGATGTTCTTTACAGTGTAGAACAGAATACACAGTCAAATGAGGAGACAATGCAAATCCTTCAAAGTTTAAATGAGACACAAATGAAAGTATTTTACTTAGTTTGGGAATGGTGTTTGGAAAAACATTTGGAAAAAAAACTGATCCACTGCATATATTTTATAACTGGTGGAGCAGGAACAGGCAAAAGTCATCTTATCAAAGCCATACACTTTGAGGCATCGCGAATACTTGGAAAAAAAATAACATCTCCTGACAGTGTTTCAGTATTACTGGCTGCTTTTACTGGAACAGCTGCATTCAACATTGGGGGAAATACGATCCATCATTTATTTTCATTGCCCAAATATATGTCTTTGCCATATGAACCATTGAAAGAACAGAGTCTTAAGTGAAATGAGAGTGCAACTTGGAGACCTGCAAATTCTGATTATTGATGAAATTTCAATGGTATATAAAAGATTATTATACTATGTTCATGAAAGACTTGTACAGATTAAAAAATCCAAGGAGCCCTTTGGAGGAGTGTCAGTAATTGCAGTGGGAGATTTTGTTACCAACTTCCTCCTGTAAAACAGCGTAAAGATGAAAGGCTGTAATAAAGAAAATGCTCTTTATCCTGTTGATCATTGGCTAGACTTTTTCAAAGTGGTGGAGTTATCTGAAATTATGAGACAACGTGAAGACATTCCATTTGCAACAGCACTAAATTCACTTCGGACTAGACTAGTAAAAGAACCCCTGGAATATGAAACAAGTTCCATCTTGAATGACTGTGTAAGGGAAGGGCCAAATAATGTGCTCCACGTCTATGCAACAAATGATGAAGTCAATGCATATAATTTGACAATGCTAAGGGGTACCTGTTCTGACATTGTTGAGATTGATGCTCAAGACTTTTCGAAAGATAGAACAACAGGCAAGCTAATTTTAAGAAGCAAGCCATTAACAAGGTCCAAAACAGACAATCTTTCTAGCAGTTTGTTATTGGGTATCAATGCAAAAGTTATGCTTACAAGAAACTGCAATGTAGATGATGGCCTTGTAAATGGAGTAATGGGGCATATAACACATTTTGTATAGCCAGAAGCATGATGCAAACACTGTTGTTGCAGTAGCAGTAAAATTTGACAATGTCAATGTTGGGAAGAAGTCTGGGAAAAAAACGAAGAAATGGAAATATTGTTTTAATTGAAAGAGTTCAAGAGGAGATACTAGAACATAAAAAACAAAATGTAGTTGGACATATCAGTTTCCACTACGCTTGTCGTGGGCATGCACAGCTCACAAAGTACAAGGAATGACAGTGGACAAGGTTGTTGTAAATTTAGATAGAACATTCTCTCCTGGACAAGGATATGTAGCTTTGAGTAGAGTAACGTCAAAAGAAGGATTATTTATTGAAACAAATGACATTGGAATCGTTACAGAGGAAGATATATGCTGACCCAGAAGTCAAATCAGCATTGCAAGGAATGCCAAAATTAGATCTTCCTAACTTTGATCAGTTAGAACAAGGCATAACAATTTTCCTTCACAATATTCAAAGTCTTAACAAACATTTTGAAGACTTGCAAAAGGATATTCGCTGTAGGAATGCAGATATCATTTGCTTAACAGAGACTTGGTTGAGATCTGAACAAAATGTTAGTAAATTTACAATGAGGGATTTAGTTTTCACCAAGTAACCAGAGAGGATGTATATGATGCTAGCAATGCTAAATTCTCAAAGTTGGGTGCATCAAAAGGTGGAGGTGTGGCTGTCTACATCAGAGAAACTGGACAGGAAAAAATTGCATCTTCTCTTCCTGTGAAGAATGTGGAGGGCATTTGTGTGAAGTGCTCTTCAAAAGATATCGTAGTTTTAACTGTCTATCGGCCAAATTCTTTGGATGCTTCTCAGTTCTTATTACAATTTGAGAAAGTAGTTAAATATTTGAGGTCACAGTATAGGTTTTGTTTGTCTTGGAGACTTCAATGAAGATGCAAGATCTGCTAGGAGTTATTCAGACCTCCATGCTTAATCAAGGTTTTAAGCAAATGGTTGATTTTAATACAACAGAGGGAGCAACAATTCTTGACCATGTGTATTTATCAACATCCTTACATGCAGAAGTAAAAAAAAAAATCAACGTACTACAGTTACCATGATGCCGTGATGGTAACTATCATATAGACACAGAAAAGAATTTTGAACAGTAAAAACTAGTTTTTAACACCACCAGCAACAATGCATAATGCCTTCGCACTGGTTATATACGAGGGTTGTTCAATAAATAATGTCATCAGCTCGATGACATACAATTAAAAACATATGACATTAAGGTAGACTTTTTATTATTAGTGAATCTTCAATGAGTTGATAACTGTTTATGTTAACACTTTTCATCACATAGTTTCATTGTGGGAAGCTGGAAAACAAGGGCTATTCGAGACAGTGCATTAAAAATTGATGGTAAAGAATCGGTAAACTAGAATGTAATTAAGGACCCTCTCTACACCAGTACAAAATGTATTTTGGATATTGAGAAAAATGTATTCTATAAAAGTGTAAGTATTGAGCTTATTTATATGATTTTTAACATATGGTGCGTGGCATTTACCCCCAGGAAAAATAATCACAACACAGTATCATTGAATAGAAATCACTGTTGTTCACTTCCATAAATAAAATACATGTAAATAACATGTTCAATTAATTTATCTTGGCCTTTTAAAATGTTAAGAATACCTGAATTGATTACAAATTGTGTAATAAACTGTGAATTTCTAATTTTAAGAATTTAGATCTAAGGGCAGATCACTCTAAGGCAAAAATTAACAGAATCAGAACTCTTTAGTGTGCAGAGTACAGAGGGTTCTTAAACGCATCATTAAAACTGTTGTAAAACTTGTTTAGAATCCCCCTTAAATATTTACTGAAATATGTGAAATTTAAAGAAACTAATGTTTGTTTTATACACACATAACCAGGTGCATTTTAAAGACGCTGGGTGGTCGAGGCCATTTTAAGACTATTTCGATCTCCTTTAGAAGAAGAGCTCCATTTAAAGATATACAAAAATGATCAAATGTTAAAATTAAAATGTATGAAATTTTACTTTCTCAAATGATAGCTTAATTTGTATTGACACTGTATCTTGTTCTTTACATTGATAAAATACACTTGACAAAACAGCAAAGGCCTGAGAAGATCAAAGAACTGCAAGGGCACAAAACAGGTTTATATGCTAATTTCTTAAATATTAGTGGTCTTGTTGTTCAAATTCTTATTCGGTGAGGCAGTTTAATTTCTGTAGGACTTTATTTTTATCTATAGCTCTTTAATTACCAATTATTTTAATTATAAATTTCTGAAGCAAAAAATTATCTTAACAATCTGCAACAATGTATTGTAAAATTATGATCATATGTTACGTAATGAGGGGCCATAAGGGGCCAAAATGCTAAACTTTTCATTCTTTATATAGGGGAAAATATTTTCATAATAAATGATGTTTTCCCCCC